TGGTGTTCAATATATCAGGATAGAGAACAAACATGCATTGGATAATATATACTGTACAGAGAAAGTCCTTTACATCCGAGTTATAGAAAACCTAAAGGAAACTAAGTGCATTAAAGCTTTTTCCAGCAAGTGTCTTGAAAGGACAGCAAAAGGAGGAAGAATCAAAATCAGATTAGTACAAATCACTCTTTAATTGTAGACTGTACATGTCTGTACTAATTGAAACCATCTTGGATTTGGAGGAGACAGAACAGAGACGGAGATGCTGTGCTGTGCGGAAGGGAGGCCACGCCTGAGAACGGCCCCATCCTGAGCCTGACAGGAGCCGGCCCCACTCGGCAGGAATCAGCCAAAGGAAAACAAAAGGAAACAGGAACGAAGCCAGAACAGGAAGTGTAACTTACAGACTCCCGAAGCCACCTGGGAATGAAGGCGAGATCGGGAGCCAGCATTTCTAACTTTTTTCCAGTTAAGTGGGTACACAATAAGGCAGGTACATTCAAGTACTGAAATTTCCAGAATTAACTCTGTCTGGTCCCAGGGACAGAAGGGATTGGGCTGCGTACCCCTAACCAAGTGTTTTGGTTAGTGATTAGGCAAAAGAAAAACCCAGCCAGCAAGTGCTAGGAAAACAAACCAGCTAGGCCCCTTCCTTTCCACAGAATAGGTCTGTCTGAAAAAACACAAGCGATGCTGGCCTGCGCCTACTAGGACATGCATCCAGCTAGAACCTGACGGGTCAGCTTAGTGGAGCGATCACAGAGTCAGCATGAAGAAATGAGATGAGGCGGGTGAGGAAACATGAAAGTAACACTTGATTTTTGGTGTCCAATTATGCGTTCATTTGGTACTGACTTTCAAAGCTCTGACTGTGGCCATCATGTGGCCACATCATCTCAGGGTGGCTCAGCTGCTGTGAGGCATTGGACACCGAAATGCAGGTTACCGACACTTCAGCCCTTGAGTGGTCTGTTATAAAAGGAGTTGATGAAGACCCGGTGGTGATTCAAGTAGCACTGCACATGGCTCCACCAGCCCCATTGTGCTTGTGTCCAGGCCCCCAGCCAGCCACCTGTTCTTGGGAGCAGCCAGAGCTGAGTTCAAGGCATTGCATGGTGAAGGTTTCCATGACACGTCTTTGTAGGTAGCTCTTACCCCTAAGCCCTTTGTTCATTGTTGTTAGTCATGGTAGATGGTCAGTCTGGAATTCCTAAAGGAAAAGGAGAAAAAGCCACACCTCCCAATGCACATGCAACAGGGCAGCTCCGGCCTCCGTGCGGGAGCAGCAGCAGGCTGCCTTGCAGGTTAGCTTGGGAAGTGGGCAGCCCAGGGACAGAGAGGCAGGGTGGGTGAGACTGGGACAGGGGTAGGCACATCCTGACCCCCCAGGAGAGACTGTTCCATTTAGTGGCAAAGATTCAGAGACCAACTGGTTTTGTCCAAGGCATTTCTGCAGTAGAAAAATAACTATCTTTGAATCAAACCATCCAACTGTGACACTTCTGGAGTTAATAAAAAGTTGGAGGCCAAGAGGGACTGAGATGGGTGCTCATGGGGAAGAAGGGGTCTTCTACATACCCATCCATCCACCAGAGCAAGGGAGTTCTGGCCAACCTTCTCCCAGCCTCTGCCTGGCTGAAGGTCCAAAGCAGGGTGTTCAAAGAGCTCATCTTCACAACCGACGCAGATGTGTGAAGACCCCTTTCCAGACCTTTGCTCCCTTCCTGAACCCTCGGAGCTATGGGCCAGCCTGCTGCCCTAGAGGCAGCCCCTGGATGAGATGCTGCCTTTCTTTGCTACTGGACAAGCCTGGTGCGGAGCCACAGTGACACCTAGTGGTAAAGTATGGTGAAGCAAGGTGACATCCACAGAACCCAATGTCTAGGACTAAAATCTAAGGAAAATACTTAAGGATATGAAATTAGATACGAATTAATTTTTCTATTGGGTAAATATCTGGAATACAAAAATACCAATATTTAGAGAGGGTTTCATAAACTACTATACAATATAAGGACTAAGAATATCTTTCTCTAAGCTGTTCTGTTTACAATAATTTAGGAAGAGTGTTTAGTAATCCAGGCTTAACTGAATCAGCCAACTTGTATCTCTGGACAACGACCTGGGGTACTGTACATGATTCTAATAAGTGGAATTTTCCTGAGCCTTCAAGTTTAAGTTAAACACATCTAAAAAGAGGGCACATGGGAGAACAAGAAGGGCTTGTGCTCTATTAACTTGGGACTTTAATAGTGCACGCCTGCGACCTGGGCAAGCTACAGCAGCAAATACAAAATGGTCTCCATTTTGTCCATGCCAAATTCTCATGTTACACAGGTTTTCCCTTTACTTTGTAAATAAACATTAATTTTTAATTGTTAATTGTGTGCCTTACTGATCCAGTAAATAAAGTAACCATGTCTCAGGAGTCCCTAAGAACATTGCTGGAAAAGCACTTTAAAATCACTGCAAATATGTTTTTGTATTTAAAAATTCTTACTCTTTTTGATGCTTATATACAAGTTATTTCTTGTGCTATAAATGTTGTGATCCACTGCTTGATTTCTTTCCTTTTTTTCCTTGAAAAACACACTAAAAGACAAGAGCGTTTTTGCTACTTTCTAATGAAGACAGTACTCACATTTAAATATCCAGTATTAGAGTCACAAATTCAAACAGTAAAGTGCACCCATTTATAGACATGACGTGATGGAAACCCATTAGTGCAAGAATTCTGGGCAAACGGAACGTACAACCTATAAGCTGAAGTTGGTCACCACCGTCTCCATTTCAGGGTGATGTGCACAGGATGAGAGGAACTTACTGGTTTCATGTGAAAAATCCCCCTCCCACTGCCCCACCTGAAGCCAGACATCGATTCAGCAAATGCTGTTGGGAGAGGGGCAACTCTCAGGTACAGTACTAAGATCATCCCATGGCAGTGAAGTAGCAAAACAGGGCACAGGCAGTCTGCTTATAAGGAAGAACTCCGTCTCCTCCCCTATCAGGTCCAGTGGGCATTTTGTAGGCAAAAACAACTGGCGCCCAGTAGTGATATTCACTCCCTCTTCCAATGGCTAAAAACAAATTGTATTTTGTCGACATTTTAGGTGTTCTGCCCAATGAGACACAGACCCTAAAATTTCCTGTTTATCCTGGAAAACCGAGAGAGAGACTGTGGGGAGAAGTAGCATATTTATAAAATCACAGAACCTGTTCACCCACCTAGACAGGGGGGAGTACAGATGTATGTGTCTTGTTCCAAATAAGCAGGGGCACTTTTCTAAGACACTGAGAAATTTTTCAAAATGTAGCAGCGGCTCCTCAGTGAGAGGTGGTTAAAAAGGATAAGATGCAAAAAGCCCAACAGGGTTAAGACCTGGACAATGAGGGAGTGAGAGGCTGCTGGGCTCCCAGCTGTAGGCTGTACTAATGCTGTACATTTTCATCTTCTTGTTGAGAGGTTGAGAGAGAGAGAGAGAGAGAGAGAGAGAGAGAGAGAGAAAGAGAGAGGCTGATGCCCACTCTGCTGTCATTGAGCAGATAGTCCTTTGGCATCAGAGAAAGAGTCTGGGTCTTGAGTTAGCCCAGCTGTTGCCTCTAGCATCGGGTCAAGTCCCGGCCTATTTCAGGCTTGCAGGCGGAGGGGGGTCCATCTATTTGGCAGAATCTAAATTAGTAAAGAAGTGTTTCTGGTCTCAATTTCATGCTTCAAGCATGTTGGAGCGATGCTTTCAGAGGACACTTACTATTACAAACTGGTCTGAGCCCATGTGAATTTTTATTCAGGAAGTTGCCCTACCTGTAGCCCTTTTCGAACAAGAGCAGTGATTCCTCATAACAGAGAACGAATTCTCTTTTGTTGAGTTTGACTTGTTTAGAAGGTTAAACTCTAAGAACTGATGAGCACTCAGGACCGGGCCTATGCTAAGGCTTTGGCTTTCAGTGTTCTTGCCGCTCATCCCATGCTGGCCTCAGCCCCTCAGGGGACAGCTGAGCAAGAGACCCAGGTGGGTGGAGGGTGCCTGGATCAGAAGACCTGGTATCTCATATACACCCACCCAGGCTGAAAGGGGGCCTTCTTCACCCTGAAAGGAGACACTTTGTGGTGCCTGGTTTTCAAAATATCACTCCCCGAACACTCCTACCTAAAAAAAGAAACAATAGGTAATGAAACTATAGATCTCAAAATGGAATGAGACAACATCTGGCACAAACTGCAATGGCCCTGGGTGCAAATTCTGGGAACAAGTCTTTTAGTCCCATGAGAATTCAATTTGTTTCTCAAAGAACCAATTTCTTCACTAAATACCATCTGGGTTTTAAAAAAGAGGGCCAGTAAAGCAGGCTAGCTCCAGGCGACGATCCACCTCACAGGATTACTGCCCCAGCCAATCTTCCGTTTACTTCTTGTGGAATCTGATGCTCAGGATCTGAAGGGGGATTTCTCCAAAGATTTCCTACAGCCTTTCAATGAGAATCCGGAACAGTCTTTCCTTCTCTCTCTCTCTTCCTACATATTTATTTATTTCCTCCCTCACCCATGGAAAATCAGTAGTTTTTAATGGTAATTGTTGGCTAAACATCTAAAGAATAATTTTCAGTGAATTATTAAAAATTATCCATGATTCTTACCCAATTTTCTTGGCTGACCAAAATATTTAAAAAGCTGATTGCTTTTAAAATGTTGTTAAAATACTTCTTGGAAAATAAATATAGTGGTTACTTCAAATAATTACATTTGTGTGTTTTTTCTTCTAATTTAACAGACATTTCTTCTCTTTCTCTTTGATCCTTTCACCCACACAGGAAGACCAGCAACAACCTACAGGAACACTCAAGACCTGAAGACTGCAGGGAGCTGGCAGTAGGGGAGACCAGGGCACCAGAATGCACTGGGGCTGGCTATCTGGAAAACACGGGGTTAGAGTGCAAAGACAAAGGGAGCATCACACTCTTTACAAAGTTCCTGGAAGAAAATGAACAAGAACATCTTATTTTTGTTAAAAAAAAAAAAAGAGAAAGACATTTACACAACCAACAAGAACATCAGTGAAAGCGATTGTCTCCTGGAAAAAGCTGACCAGTGTGTCTGATCTCCCTGGGTTAAAGCACACGGCACAACAATCTCCTCGTTGGCATCTGAAGAGAGGGAGAGAGCATGTGGCTGGGCACAGCAAGAGAAACTGAAGTCCTGGCTCACTGGAGGCCAGCTTCCCAGTCGGCTGCATGCAAAGGATTTCAGCATGTGGGCTGCCACCTCTGAACACCACACAGAAACTACATGAGAAATTAAGCTAGAGAACTACCTCAAATGTGGAAACCAAGCCTAAAAATGTGCAGTGAAAACATAGGGGTCTCACTCCAACAAATGTCTTTTAAACATTAGACTCCACAAATGGTCTCTTTGGTTTGATCGGGGATGTCTGCCCTTGTCGAGAGTCCCGGGACAACTGCCTGTACAGGTTGTCCTGGTATGCCTGAGCCACAGGGAGGGTCCGAGCCACCTTCACATCGGGGTAGGAGGAGGCCTGGCTGACTCTCTCTAAGAGGTCTCCGCGGGACCCGTTCGCCAGCATCCCGTGGGGGCTGTAATAATCGTCCTCCAGCAAATGGCCATTCTGTGCATTGTTGGTTTTGTTATAAAAGGCAATGTTGCTGATGGATGATGGTGGGCTGAAGGACTCAGGCTGAGGCAAGTTGCCTGGAGACGTGGGGCTGAGAACGGTATCCACTGATGACACTGCCCAGGTCCGATTCTGCTGGTGAAGATGGGGGTACTGTTGAGTCCGGGCTGTTTTATCTATGATCCCCATGAATGGTGTGGTCCTGGATCGGGTGGGCTCACTGGGGTAACCTCCCTGAGTGGGAGACACTGGCGACAGCTCGTCACATGACCTATCATATGCGGGTTTTAGTGGGATCTCCATCTGTTGAATCGAGGAGGATGGCCGGAAGGTAGGTGTTAGGTTGGAGGCAGATGAGATACTATTGCTAGATGGAGAGAATCGAAGGCCTACGCTTTGGGAGTGCAGCAATGGCCTAGGAGTTGGTGGGTGGGGTTTGATTTCATTGGGGTTGACACCAATAGGTCTTCTGATTAGATGCGACACATCAGGGGAACCTAGTTGGCTAGAGGAACGCTCCAGATCTAGTTTTGAGTGACAGACTGGGTAATAGGATGCGGACTGACTACGTCCAATCTGTGGTGTCTGGCTGTATCTCATGCCACCTCGATATGCTGAGGAAGGTCGCTGTGGAAGGTCTTCTTTGGTCAACCCTCCATGCTGACAGATGGCGCCTGCACTCAGACTGGCCTGGACATGCTGCACAGGTCTCCCATCCCCAACAATCCCCCCAATTGACCCTTGATAAACCAGTCGGCTCTGACTTACTCCTAGGTCCCCTTGTGAAGACTGGTACTTACTAGCCATTGAGTGGGCTACCTGACCATAGGCCCCTGAGGAGATGACAGTGCTTGAATGAACAGCAGAGCTGGGCTGGTTGCTTCTCACAATCTGGGCCTTAGCAGGCTGTAGCCTGAGCCCTTGCTGGGGAACCGCCACAGGAAGCTGAGGCATCTGGTAGGGCCTCTGGGCCATTTTGGATAATGGAGATTTTGGCCTGCCAGGAAGTTGACTAACATTTGTTTCTTGCTGATAGCGCACAGGCGAGCCGGACTGGGCTCTATAGACACTCATGCTTTCAGCTGGAGGGCTGGCCCGATACTGAGGGCCTCTTCGGAGAGGGGAAGGGGGAGGGCTTGGGTATTCTTTGCCCTGCCCTCCCACAGGAGGGGGGCTAAAGCGGTAAGATCCACCCTGATGAGCCGGGGAAGTATGTGGTGGACTAGGCCTGTAATGAGAGTTCTGGTGAGTTGGAGAAAGAGCAGGTGAGGTGGACTGATAGCTCTGTCTAGTGGGAGAACCTACAGAACTACTGGACCGGAAGTCAAAAACCTGATGAGAGCCAAGCGGGGAGCTGGAGATGTAGGCGGAGTCCCTGTGGGCTGGAGAGGAGGGTGGGCTCTGGATGATCGGGAGCCCCTGACTGGGCCGTGCCTCTGTCTGGAGGCCAATGGAAACATTTTCAACATCCTGCTCCAAGTACTCTTCCTCGAAAATGTCTTGCACAGAGTATATGTCTTCATGCTGTGGTTCAGATTCTGCTTCTTCTGGTAGCTGCTGCTGAGGCGGCTGCGGTGGCGGTGGCTGCTGCTGCTGCTGCTGCATCTGCCTACACTCCTCCTCCACTCTCATCAGGAGTCTCTGGATCTCACGGTTGTTTGGACACAGCTTGATGGCCTCGCTCAGGTCCTCTAAGGCTGCTGCAAACTGTCTGCTTAACACAATGTAAACACAGGAACTGCAGTTATTCTGAATCAACAGGAATCACCCAGCGCTGAGAACATGGTCACTATTTCAGAGAACTGTGGGAGCATCTGTCAGAGTCGGGGGTTTTGGTTTTATTTAATTTGTAAGGAAGGAAACAGGTAGGCTGTCATTCTAGAGGAGTCCAGAATGATTCTCTAACCCGTTCTGCCTCCATCTTCCTTCTGGCCTCTCTGGGATTAGTGAGGAAATGTCCTCATTTTGTCAGTCCAGCCAGGCCCTTCAGGAAGATTCTATTAGTGCCCAAATGCACACCAGGCAGTATGAGGGTTGGGTGGGGTTGTCATTTACAGGGTCACTGTCAATTAGCTTAGGAATAAAAGAATAACTACGATATTTAAAAATCTTGCTGATCCAGCAGAATTTTTTTGTTATATTCTTAATATTTTGGCTCCAAGTTTCAGGCCTGTTTCATCCTAGGCAAGAACTCTGTCTTCTGCCCTTCCTACCCCTCATCCCACAGCACTATTGCTCCTCCATTCTGCTACATCAAAGCTGGGAAGATATTAGGCTTGCTGATTAGGCAGCTCAGATTCTAATTTACAAATTAGGACGTGAACTATCAAAGATTTCCCATTCTCTCTATTAATATTGCCCAGAAAAGGAGCCATTTGATTTGTGGGGAAGGAATTATCCGGTGGGAAAGAGAACTTGACAGTCAAGCTTCTGAAGAGCTAGTTAAGATTAGTATTACTGCCACTGTCGCCACAGACTTATCCCGGGTTTGACTTCCAGGACCACATCCCGCCCTGGTTATATCAGTGAGCCTGAAGCAGTTCTTTCCCATGCAGTTTGGGAAAAGGGTGGGATGCTGGCAGGAGGCATCAAGGACAGGGACAAGTTATCCGAAGATCACTGATGGCAGGTTCTAGGTCTTTCTGGGACCCTTCCTGCCCACTGGCCAAACCACAGCAGATGGGCATGAGGGATGGAGTCCATTGTGGGTCCCCTCAATCCTGGCAGCAAGGGCCTCCTGTCTTCACGAGTTTGTGGTGTGGGTGGTAGGGCTTTAGGTAAGAAAGAGGTTTGATGCCACCAGACTTGAGGGGAGCCCCCCAAGGAAGACTAAACAATCCAGGGATTCCCCAAACGCCTACACGAAAAGAAAGAGGAGCCTGTGATGTACGTGACCCATCCTACTTTTCCCTCTGAAAGGGTCGAGGGGATGTCGCTAAGTGACCTCTTCCTAAGTCACCAGTGTCTCCTTATGCTACCTGCTTGGGGGTTAACACGATTGAGAGATGGCAGAGGGTTCTTGAAAGAAGGTCCCACTCTCCAACATGAAAAAGACGTTTTTCACCCAAAGCAAAATGCGCTAGATTTCCACAGCCCGGAAGACTTGCCAACCTTAAACTGAGTATTGCTATGGGAGCCATCCCCAAAGCGTGGCCCTACGAGTCCTCAGGGATAGACACACATGGGTACATATGCCCCAGGATGGCCTACATTGCCTTGGCCAGATTTTCAGAAAAGAGACCTCTTGCTTTTTACCCTCTCTCTCTCTCCTCACCTGCTGCTGCGTTTTGCCCTTGCTCTTGCATAGTAAGCTTCATAAGATTTCGGTTTCAGCTCCAGGGCCTTAGTAGCAAATTCCTCCGCCATTCCAAAATCCTGTCATTACAATAGGTGTGCAAATGAGTCATTGAAGAGTTATGAAAAATAGACAACTTGGGAATAACACAGATCATATGTACATTTCTTTGACACTTATGGATGGAATACCTGGGATTTCTGACATGCCTGGTATAGCTTTAGCCATGTGGCCCACAGCTTGAAAGTTCCTTCTGCCTTTGCCCTGTGTGGCCCTGCAACCACTCATAGGAATGTATCTGCCCATAAGTATAAAAATACTTTTAATTTGCCTTCTTTCTGCCTTCCTCACAAAGTTCTTTCTAGGCCAGAAGCCAAATGTCAACCCAATGAAGTGCCTGAAGTTGGAAACCTGAACTCATTACACACGCATGAGTGAGGCCAACACACAGAAATAATCACCTCCCATGATTCACACGCCTACACCTCACATGGAAATTCACCCTATCTCCCTCCTCCCTGCCACACCCACTATTCCTTGGTTTTCCAAGGGATAAGTGAAATCCAAGAGGATGAGGTCTGCGCTGGCTTGATGGAGTAAGGACAGTGTTCAATTATCTGGTCTGCTTTGTGACCTTTCAGAATGTGTTGTATGTTTTCTTATGCACACCTACTTCACAGGTAGAATAAGAGCAATACAGCATTTGAATGCTCTGTAAACAGTTCTTGGCACAAAGTAGATGCTCAGTAAATGGTAGTTTCCTTTTTATTTCAGAGGACTTCTCTGGTCTGTTTCTTCTCTTAAATGATTCCTTATTTAGGAAACATTTAAAGTGAAAAAAACAAAAGAGGACCCTGTCCGTGCTATCACTTCATCTCTTTATTACAGAGGCTCTCTGGAGGCAAAAGCTGTAGTTTTTAACCCTTACACCAGCGGTTCTCAACCTGTGGGTCGCGACCCCTCTGGGGGTCGAACGACCCTTTCACAGGGGTCGCCTAAGACCATTGGAAAACACATATATAATTACATACTGTTTTTGTGATTAATCACTATGCTTTAATTATGTCAATTTGTAACAACGAAATTGGGGGTCACCACAACATGAGGAACTGTATTAAAGGGTCGCGGCATTAGGAAGGTTGAGAACCACTGCCTTACACAAAAGAGAAGTTTTTCCTTTCTCTTTTAATATCAAAGCACAGCACAGTAGCCTCTGGTTACACTTGTGATTCCTAATACAGAAAACAAGGCCCAGAACAAAGGCCCCGGGGCATAGGTTAAAAAAAAAAAAAAAAAAGGATGGGCAATTTTCTACCAAAGACAGACTTCAGGTGCTAAGCAGAGTTCTGCTCATGGGAGGTGATTATTTCTGAACAAACGTGGAGCTAGAGAAAAAGTATTCCATCTTAGCAAGGTTGTCTTCTATCCCTGTTTCCAACCTTACCCTTTACTTTTTTCTTTTGAGACTGTTATGTCTGGTAAGATTGTTGTTTTGAAGTATACTATTTATTAGGCAAAGAGAAGCCAGCAGGGTGGCAGCAGCTTCTGTGCTCTGTCTCACTCTCACTAGCTGTTGTCCCAGGAGACCCTGGTGAAGATTCTTGTTTCATCTAAGAACCTCACTGCCTCCCCCTAAGACACCTACTCTCTCCTATGGGAATCTCTAGTGGCCCCACTCTCCTTAGCACCAGGGACAGGTCTGCCTCTTAGGATCCTAACTGTGTCCTCTGAGACACCCAAGCTGTATCAGGGCTCTTTTCATTGTCAAGTTTTAGATGGATGATATGAAGATCATATATGCAAATAATCTTTCTGGTATTGATAGCAAAACCATTGCCACTGAGCTGAAATCTCACTATTGTAGAGCTGAGTTCTTTATTGACCAACACTCCTGTTTGGCTTGGATTATTTCTATCTCTTGATGAACTATGAAACCTCAGGTTGGTGGATGTCAGAGACTCCTGACATGATCTTAGCTATTCCCAGTATCTGAGAGAGGGTTCTTGGCCCTGGAGTGTCTGCATGTCAAGGTTGCTGAGGGCATCAGAGACTATCTGCAAAGCAGGCAAGAAGGACCAAGGATTATCTGGGAGATAATAAGGGACCAGGAAGAGTTCTAAGATTCTATCTGCAAAAAGAAGGGACATGGCATGCTAGGATAAAAAGATGAGTAGAAGTGAAAAGTTCAAGATTAGCCTTAGAAATTAAATCTTTAAGTTCATGGTCCTGAGTCCTCTTTCCAGCCCATCCATACGTGACTCGGGGGCCTTCTACAAAGGGAGGGAATGATTAAAATTCATAACTAATTGCAGCTGGAATTTTAGTGACAATTGCTCTCACATTTTCCCAACGACCAGAAAGTTGACTTTGGGGTGGGGAGGATGATGACAGTTTTTTAATCACTTTCAGTGGGAATTATGAAAACTCAGAAACCTATAAAGTGCCCACAGCATTCACTTTACAGTTTGATATGGATTGTACTTAAGAGTTGATTTCTTTCAAATTGCAAATGTCAGTGCTCTGTGAAGGACAACCGAGTTCCAATGGGCCAGAGAAGGATCAGGGGCCTGGTAAAGGCTAGTGAATGACTTGGACTGTCAACTTCCAGGACTGCAGAAAGGAGCTGGGATGAGAAGGACTTACGTTCATTTTCCTGCGACACCGAGAGAGGTTGAGGAGAAGAGACACCTTCAGTTCCCGGAAGGTTTTCAAGTCCTCACCAAACCCTTCTCTAGGGAATTTCTTCAGAGCGTACTGGTAGCGCTGGGCAGCCTCCTTTACTTTACCTTTCTAATGGGAGGACAAGATGGCAAAACACAAAGTTGGTCTGCTGAACAGCTAAGTTTGGTCCCACTCCCTTCTTCTCTCCAGTTATTATGAAGAGTTAGCCCTCCCAAATGCCACTTACGAGAGTAGGTCTGGCCCTGAACATGAGAGCAGAAAGGCAAGAAAGGCTCGGTTGAAGGGTTGAAGGGGTTACTCAAGATACAAGCCAGAGAAACAAAGCCATGTGATAAAAGGCCTGGGACCAGCTTCTCAAATGGATTCCTAAGGGACTGACCTCTCTCTTTCAAAGGAGCTTTCTCTTGACCTGATCTCCAGGGAACACATATTTCCTAGTCTCCAGCACACCAAAATGACTACTTCCTGAATTTTGCTTATCTGGAAAACTCTTTCCTTGTTTGATGTTCCACCTTGCCAGTTCTCTTCCTCACAAAGGATGCAGGAGCTAAAACAATCTAGTTGCTGGTTCCCTACTCTCATGGCATAAAATAATATCAATCAGTTTCCCCCGTTTTTGGAAAAGACATGGGTAAGGTGATAGTAGAAAAGTGAAGTTTAGAGTTTGTGATTCTATCTGACTATGTAGGAGGGATTTTTCCAAGATAAAGCAAATCTATGATCAACTTAGGGACCTGGTCACAGGAGCCTTGAACTTTTCTTACAATTTGTATTTGCAAATCTACATGCTGAGCCCAGAATGATGCAGGAGGCACCACCCTTCCTCTAGCTAATCTTTATCCACTCAATCTTTCTGATTAGCTGCAACTTTACCAGGGATCCCGATCTCTTATTTTTTCTGTAGCACCTCTCATTAAGGAGAGGTTTGGAGTCTTCCAAGGTAGGGTTCTGGGTGGGACTAGTAGTAGCTCTGCCCATTCTCAGTAGGAGGTAGGACTCCTTGTCTTAGAATATCAGAAGTTATGTTATAACCAGGGCTTAGATTCTTGAGGGCAATGCCATTCTCAGGTCCATAAATATGACAGCAAAAGAGGCCCTTCCTTGAAGTTATGTGAAATCATGGTTGGGTCAGGACTCAAGTTTCCTAGAAGGCTAAGAGTCCTAGATTATCATGAGTTTCACTCAAAGTTCCTCAGGAAATACAACTCTGTCCCCAGGATCTCTGTGCACTCCTTACACCGGAGGTGGGGGGAAAATAAAGTGCTTCACAGTCACCTCCAGGGCCTAGAGACGTCTCAGTGAGGCCCAATGCCCAAAGCTGGGCTGGATTTGTGTTTTTTTACCTTCAGGAGAAGACAATTCAGCTAATCTTAACACAACACAGTAATTCTTACGGGACTTCCTATAGGCCATGAGAGTTTGTGTTAGGAGGGCATGGAGCCCTCAGCTTGAGCTGTGAGTATAAGAAGACTCCATTCTTTTTATTGTTATTGTCATTCAATGAGTGACCTCAAGCAAATCTTCTCATTGCTCTCTGTCTTGGTTGTCTTATCTTACTCGAGATATTGATAAGGTATTATTATAGACTTTTAAATCTATGAATATATTAATTATGAAAGACAAGATCAGTACTCTTTTCCATGGACTGAAAAGATCTGCACTGCATTGTTTTACTTTGACTCGTCCCATGAATTTTCAGGTCCCACTTAGCAGATTCCACGTAGAATCTATGTACCTGCCCAATAGTGGTTAAACTAGGTCTTTAGGTTGATTAGCTACAGGCATGTGTAGGCTATTCTTGCTCTCTTATTGAGAAGGTGAACAGCCTGGATTTTCAACTTATGAGCCGGGCACTGAGGGGTGACATTTTCTCCCTTTGTCTCTAGGACCGAAGGTGAGAACTGCCAAGACTTCGGCAGGTTCCTTGTGTAGAAAACAGCCAGTGGCTGTTTGAGGAAACTGTTCCTTCTCCCCTCACCTTATAGAACATGTCCCCCTCTTCCATCAGCTTGCTCAACAGGATGATCATGATGTCCGGTTTGGAGGTGGCCATCGCCCATGTGGCTGGACCTGTAGTGTACAGGATGCATGATGGGTAAAAACTCATACAATGTAAGGGTGGTGGGAAGCTAGGTGAAAAAAACATCCTGGGGGAATTTCTGCTGAGAGAACAACTTGCTCCACAAGAATTTCCTCATCTTTTGGACCTGGGAGTATCTTAATGACTCCCACTGCCTAGAAGCTGCACTGGACGGTATTCACCTTAAAATAAGAATATCTGAACTCAGTTTGCACCACAGGAGGGCAGCAAAGTCTGCATACTGTATTTGGGCAGGCAATGGCTTAGTATGGAGTTATTTTAAAAAAATTTGGGAGAAAGGGTTTATATTAAATGTCACTATAAGATTTTAAACATCCAAAAAGAGAAATTTATGTTAGAATCTGGGACTCAAAGGCCCCAACTATTTAGTTTATTAATATTTAAATATGCACTTTGTAGAGGGAAACCATTCAAGACTCTAAAGCTCCCTTAATTTTTAAGTATCGAGTAGGACTCCTGGGATTTACTGTGTATCAGGAGCACAGTCCCAATGTCAGACAGACACGAGACAAGCCAACATTACTGAGGATTATTTTATCCGCAAAGAGAAAGAAAAGGTTCAACTGATTAGTTTACAGATGCCTGAATTATTTACCAACTAAGCTTTTCAGGGTTAGTTATGAAAAGTTCAAGTTATTCTCTACAACAGTCATTTAAAAAATCTTCTTTTAAGGTGAAGTAAATTAAAAGATTAGAGGTGTGGGGAACTCATGCAGGCTAAATCAAAGAGGAGAAGGCAAAGCTGACCAAGCCATCAGACCACGCCTGATGCTGACAGCGGTGAGATATACCTCGTGGGCGACTCGGTAACGTCTGACAACCTTCAAAGAAAGGAGAAAACAAAAAGTTGTAGGAGAGGAAAAAAAAATGGATGAAGGTGAAAAAAAAAAAAGAAGGAAAAAGCAGCAGTGAGAGGCAGGCAGCAAAAAAGCCAGCATATAAGCCAACCCTTGTCTACAGGTCTGTGGGTGGGGAGCGGATGGGGCAGCAGCAGCAGGGACTGGAGAGTCTGAAGCACATACAGAGCAAGGGAAGCAAAGGCTCATGGCCGTGCAGGGATCCAGGATGCTCACGGGGCGGGGCTGGTACAGAGGCACTAGCACTAAGATGTGCTGAAAGTTCAGAGCAGCCTCCTGGGTAAGGCTAGAAGGGGCATGGCGGAGAGCCCTGTGATTTTACTCAGGGTAGTGTAGACCATGGCTCAGATGGCTTTCTCTGGGCCGAGAGGCTTCCTGTTCACTTGGACAATATCTGGGCCAGGGCAGAGGGGGAACTATATACACTCACACCAAACACCCAAGGCAGCCAGACCTTTGGACCAGTCTGGCCCCTGGGCACAGATGGCCAGCACTTTCTTCCTTTCTCCTACCTATCTTGGCTCCTTTCTTCAGAAGAGTGACGACGACAGAAGTGTTCCGGCACCCCACTGCCCTATCCAACGGGCGCATTCCGCTGTAGTCCACATGCTCGATCATGGCCCCGTGATCCACCAGGAACTGGACCTAGCACATGGATCAAGCAGAGCAGTTAACACAAGTGCAATGGTTCAGCTCCACCAAGGGTTTTGGCTGCTGCCTGCCCTTTATTCAACTGCTGGTCTGAACCAGACTGAGTAGCCATGGTATTTTAGGCCATACCTATATTCTTGGTCTTCAGTGGTGTTTTGAATTTTTCTGTCCTCTAAAGTATAGATCCAAGAACTTTATATCAGGAATCACCACACGCAACTCTCAACCCCAGATAGCATTATGGAGGGAGAATTCAATATACACTTGGTTCTAGCTTAAAATTATAAGCTTTTGGATGGCAAAGAGCCTATTATTTCCTTGCTAGTTTCGAAGGGAACCTAAGATGATTCTTTTCACAGAGTAGGCACGTCATACTCACTAAATTAGAGATCAACTTACTTTACAGGAAACATTCCCCTATCCCTACCCCTGTGAAGTTTGTTTAAAGACACTCACCACCTCAGCATCACCATAGAAAGCTGCCAGGTCCAATGGGGTGCGGCCATTCTTGTCAGCATGGTCTGTGGCAGCTCCATTATCCACCAGAGAACGTACTACAGAGAGATGACCCTTCAAACAAGCCCAGCTGAGGGCTGTCAACCCTTCTTTGTCCATCAGAGCAATGGAGGCACCTAAGAGAGCAAGTATAATGCAGGACTGAGGAAACACGAAAATTAATAGCAGAAAGGAAAGATGGAACTTAAGACGTACATTCTGCCAAAGCACAGCTTTTGTTTCTGGTATGTGAGTTACCTTTCAATAAAAACTGTTAAAAAATTGATCCTTCAAGCTGTCAGAAGAGAAGAAAGTTCAGCTGTCTTACTGGGCATTCCAGGTCCTCCACAATCTCTCCCAAGCATACCCTCTGTCCTTCAGTTTCCTCACTTCCCTGTGAGAATCCGCTACTTCGGCGAAATGGATGTACTCACTGCCTCTAGACACTCCCATAAATGTTCCTGAACCCTCACTTTTGGTTATGTTGCTTCCATGTGCAGAATATCTTCCCCCCGCCCACAAGTCGCCTCACTTCTGCCCATTTCCTAGGAACCATCTCCAATCCCCGTCTTCAAGCTTCTTGTGGTTCACTGTTACTTCCTCTTGAATCTGTTTAACATGTCACCTTATTCTGTAGTTAATCTTTTAAATTCTCAATGAATGTTTCCTGAACTCAGTGAAAGTTTTCATTTATAATAGTATAAACTTGACAGAATGTGAGGGAAATGGACTCATGGAAAGAGACCCAGGACATAGAGGAAATTCAAAGTTTAATTAAACTAGTCAGCCTTCAATAACTTCATGCCCACTGTCTAAGTCCCTTTTATATTCTGCATCTGCCTTCAAAATGTCTATTTTCATCTATAAAGATCAAGCTCAATTGACACCTTTTGTAATTAGCCTAAAATTCAATATACACTTGGTTCTCAGCTTAAATTGTAAGCTTTTGGATGGCAAAGAGCCTATTATTTCCTTGCTAGTTTCACAGGGAACCTAAGATAATTCTTTTCACAGAGCAGGCACGTCAGACTCACTAAACTAAAGAGATCAACTTACTGCACAGGGAACACTTTCCAGGCTGCCCCTCAGCAGGACAGGATTCAGATGTCAGACCAAGCTTAGGACCTGCCACAGCCAGCTCAGGTCTACTCAGCAGCTAGTGGGCCTATCACCTGTGTATCCCTAGAAGTCAGATAACCACACTTTGTGGCTTCCCATAGCAGGACGAAGGGCTGGAAGGCACCACACCTCTAACACATAAATGTTCTGGGTTAGCTTTTCACAATGGTACGTTCTGTAATTAAAACATCAACTCTGCCCAGCTGGAATGGCTCAGTTGGTTGAGCATCGTCCTGTGCACTGAAAGGTAGCTGGTTCGATCCCTGTTGGGGCACATATGGAAGGCAACCCAATGAACATCGATATTTCTCATATTGATGTTTTTCTTTCTCTCCCTCCCTTCCTCTAAACATGTCCTTGGGTGAGGATTAAAAAATAACAATAAAAACATTGACTCTACCATGGAATGATTTTGAATATGAGACAGAATCCAAGGAGTTTTCTTAGACACAACATCTATAAATTCTCTGGACAGAGCCTCCAATGGTGGAAAAAAAACAGGATAAGAAGGTTCTGGATGTACATTATAGATAAAGTGATTTTTCAAAAAATAAGAAAAGTTAGAATTTAAGAAGTTAAAAGGAGATACATATGAAATAAACCCAAAATTCAATTTGTAATTTTCCTCCTCTTTCTTCCCCCCCCTTGCATTTGGCCCTTCTGTTTTATTCTATAGCTACTGCACCTGGATTAGGGCCTCATTACCTCTCATCCATTCTACTACAATGGCTTCCTAATGGATCCCTATAATTCCTTCATCAAATCTATTCACATTATTGCCTGAGTGACTTTTTTATTTTTCAAAGCACAACTCTGGCATAAATTCCCTTTTTTAAAATCTTGAAAGGCTCCCCATTGCCTTTAGAATTAAGTCCAAACTCTTTTAATCTGTTCCTTTTCCATTTCTTTGCACATATGCTTCCCATTTTATTTCTCAACAGCACTCACGTACTTCACTGGACAACTTGCCTGTTTCCCCAAACTTGTGTACTGTCCCTCCTTCTTCACCTTCCAATTACATTACTCCCCGCCCCTAAACACAGAACATTTTTCCTACTCACATTTCAAAGTCTGTCCTATTCTAGCTCAAATACCTTTACCAGAGCACTCAGGATTCTCTCCTTTTTAAGGTAGTTATTTATCTTTGTTTCATCCCTTTCTAACCAGATTATGGACTCTTTGAGGGGGCACAGATTATAGTATATTAATTTTAAAAATTACTCACAGTTCCTGGCATAGAGTTCTACAAATAATGTGGGATAAATAACTGTTCACAGAATTTGTTGGTTTAGTAAAAGTTTCTGATTTAAGTGTGAAAAGTTAAGTAGTATAAAGGTCAGAATCTCTGCAGTGGTTAAGGGAAAAGAACTTGCTGGAATCTGTGCCTGAAGATCTACTGGAGCGTGCAGTTACCTCAAGGTCATCAGTGGCTGAAGAGATCCTGCCTTTCCAGGAGACTTGGGTTGTCCTGAGACAGTTACTCCTGCCACATCTTATCCTGGGAATCCAGGCACATCCCACTTCCTCAACCAACTCTCTCTGAGCAGAAGTGAGCAGAGATATGAAACCAGACTTATTTGGTAGCTTGTACCGAGGAAGCAAGAACCTCTCCACACGCGGGCAGAGCCGTTTTCTGATTCTGATCCCACCTTTAGAGCCTGAGGTTGTGGATACAAATCTTCTTTGGAAGATCCAACTAAAGATCCAGTAAGTGTTTGACCGAGTTGTAGTTTAAAATCTTAGAAGAAACCTCTTTGTTCTAACTCAATTACCCTTAGCTGCTCTAACCTGGGCGAGACTCTTCAGGAGGTTGGTTTCCTTGAAGTCTATGTACTTATGGATAGATGTTTTTGGTCCAGTTTACTAACAGGAGAAGCTAACTAGAATGGAATCATTAAGACAAGTCACAATCACACTACCTCTTGCTTCATGCAAATAAATGCTCAAGTTCCACTAGACCAGTGGTTCTCAACCTTGGCTGCACATTAGAATCACCTGGGAATCTTTTTAAAATCCTGATTTCTGGGCCTCATCCTCTGGAAATTCTGTTCTTTGTTATGGGGTGGGGCCACAACATTAGTAACAAAGAAACAGAATTTCTGGAGGATGAGGCCCAGAAATCAGGATTTTAAAAAGATTCCCAGGTGATTCTAATGTGCAGCCTAGGTTGAGAACCACTGCACTAGACAGTAGTGCAGAGTCAGAAGTGACCCCAGCATTTCCATTGCAGAGGCCCACCAGCACTCCCCACTGTTCTGCACAGGTAACTGAGGTCATAGCAATCAAAAGGAATCTGAAATGTTTTGATGGTGGTGTGTCTCCTTTAACTTATTTCCCATTCACCAGGAATATGTGACTGTTGGTAAATGTCAAAAGGCATTTATTACAAGAGGAGGGTAATAATATCCGAGTCCTCAAATAGGTACCACTGTCAGCAACTGTCTCAGTCTCCAGGTGCCTTCTTTGGGTACAAGAAAAATATTAGCTGTGCGGGACTGCAAAATAATTGATAAAGTTAAGGTCAAAATACAATCCCTGGAACATACATTGAATATATATTAAAATGCAAAGTTGGTGATTATTCAAACTCTTTAACTGAAGAGTTTGAATATGTTCATTTGGTTAGAATACTGAAGATCCCTCAAGCCACAAGGATTAATAATATCTGTTCTTTTTTTTTTTAATATATTTTATTGATTTTTTACAGAGAGGAAGGGAGAGAGATAGAGAGTTAGAAACATCGATGAGAGAGAGACATCGATCAGCTGCCTCCTGCACATCTTCCACTGGGGATGTGCCTGCAACCCAGGTACCTGCCTTTGACCGGAATCGAACCTGGGACCCTTCAGTCCGCAGGCCGACGCTCTATCCACTGAGCCAAACCGGTTTCGGCGCAATAATATCTGTTCTTAACATGTCTTGGAATCCATCACTGTAAATTATGGGCCCTGACCATCCAGCTCTGGCAGCCCAGGACTGACCTTGTGCAAGTAGAAAGTCCACAGTTCCCAGATGGCCTTCGGAAGCAGCCATCATCAAGGGAGTCCGGCCTTGCTTGTCTGCCATGTTGACATCAGCTCCATGGGTGAGCAAAAGATCAACTATCTGCAAGTTCAGAGAAACAGGCTGCCAATTATCCAGGAAGAGCTGCTGAGCAGACGCAGGCATGCTATCCCAGACACTGTGTGAACCCCCAGATAACTTTCCACTGCAAGCACCCCCTCAAATTCCGCACAGTCCCTGTACCATGTGATTTGATCTCCGACTCTTGCAGGGACAGCTAAATGTGAAGAATTCAACTCTGAATGCTCGACTCAGCCACTAAATAAAAAAGAATTTAAGGTAACAATGGCCAAGATGGGGACTAAGCAATCCCATAACTAAACTCCAACACAAGTCCCTCCTGTGTCAGTGCCATTTTATTAACCTCTAGAAGTTGCAAAGCTGCCTGCAGTGAATATTTGTGACTGAACTGAATACCATAGTGAGTCTCAACTCTTTAGCACTGTTTGGCTTCTACAGCCTTTTTTCTACTCAAGTACTTCGAAAAGGATTATTACCAATATGCTTTCGTTTCCATCCTAAGTGTACAAATTAGCATCTATCCAGAAGCCAAACATCTGGAAAGACCGCATAACTAGAATTTATATACATCACATTTTCTTTTAGCAAATCTCAGACACCTGCAAATAAGTGATTAGCAGGATCTGTTGAGATATGAACTCCCCAAGAACTTGTGGATACTGTAAAATGTTCTCTGGAAAGAGGCAATTCTATGACTAGGCCAAAAGTAGCCAGTCTTTCTATACAATCTAGAAATGAGGATGATTTTGAATGTTAAATTTCTGACATATTCTCAACTGGAATAGTAATGGCAAACACCCAAGACCTCAAACGCGATGATTGCTGGGTAACTCAAATTTTGTGATTCTTTTTTCTTTCTCTGCATCAGAACTTCCCACCTAGAGTTCACTCTTGCCCATGGTCCTAGAAGTAGCTGCCCTGCTTACCTGCCAGTGGCCCTGGCGAACAGTGCTGAATAGGGGCACTGCCCCTCGACGGTTTGGCTGGGCCACTGCCGCCCCTTGTTCCAAGAGCAGACGACATACCTCCAGTTTGCCCCTTCCGGCTGCAGCTGTCAGGGCTAAGGGCAGAGAACACAGACTGAAAACAGGTGGCTCCTGCCAACTCTAATCCTGTGTGTTAAACATGGCAGTATATCTGTGTCTGATTAATATAAATGCTACTTTACCTCCAAGAATAATGATTTTTAGCTACTTTTGTCATGAAAATTTAAGTGAATACAACTACATTTAAATGGGCTTATTTACAACATACAGCAACAATTATAAGAACACATTTACTGAAAAATCACCTTTGATCAAACTTACTTCATTTTACTTTTTCCTACCCTCTTTTTTGGTACCTCTTCCTAGCTATACACCTTCTACTGGTATATGTGTGGCTGGAATGCAGGGAGAAGGGCTTTTGCAGAGTAAGGTCTTGTTTTTAGAATTAGCTAGGAACAATCTCTGGCCACCTCAGTTCTTGGACCCTTAAACCCAAGAACCAAAGTTAGAAATTGCAGTCCACGCGTCTTGGGAGTTTTCATTCCATTCCTTCATTAGTTGAGACAGACATTTCTAGTATATCTGCAACCATTTTTATATGAGGATCAGAAGTGTTCAAGGCAATAGTCAAGGTAAGAGGTGTGACAAAAACTCTTTTGTTGTGAATATAAAGATGGAGTCACAGATAGATATTAGCTATAGTGAGTATAAGAGACACCGCAGGAAGAAACTTAAACTGTCTTTCCTTGCTGCTGTCCTTTGTTTATGATCTTTGATACAGTTGGTAACTAATGAGGGAAGCAATGGAAATTCAAGTCAAATGGTCACTTATAATCTTTTTCAAGTGCAAATTATAGCATTTTGTCTTTGGGCTTGGCCAAATTTATCCACAACTGACTCATGTGCAAAACCAAGATGACCTGTAATTTCCACCAAGATAAACCTTCAAGTAATCTTTTCCTTCCTCAGTGATAAGAAGGGCTTAAGGGGCAATTTTAGAAGATATATTCACTCAAACTAGATGCATCTATGCCTTGTCCTATATGCATTTTCAATTTTATTTGAGAAGTCCTAACATTACTTCTGTCCTGTTCCTCACAGATAGGAAGTGGCGTGGTCCTACCTGGGGTGAGGGTCATTTCTAAACCCCCAATGAATGTGTGCAGGTATTGATGGGTCTGACTATTAACTTGATAAAGCAGTTTTGTCTCTTATTCTTCAAATCAAAATCAAAGCAATCTTCTCTCTTTCTCAAGTTTATATTTCTAATACTTCAGAAACTGCAACACTTCAGTTCTTGGGTCAGAACACCAGAGCAGTCTAAGAACTTGAATGGACATTTTAACACTGTATACCTGAAACTTACACAATGTCATATATCAATTATATCTCAGTAAAGCCGGGGTGGGGGTGGGGGTGAAAAGAACTTGAATGAGTTAAATACTTGTGAGGAATTGTAACAAAACAAGTAATTTGGAAAATTTCTAACTCCCATGTTCTGATCCCATTTAAAGCAGCTACTAGGTAGGTGACAGGGTTGCAGCAAACTTCCCTTTTAATATCCTATGTATGGAAAAGGGGGGGGGCAAATACATTATTTTTCACGAAAGAATTTACAATTCCCTGGAGAAAATATGCACAGTATTTCAGAATCAGCCTTTCAGCAATGATGCCAGTTCACAGAATACAGCTGCCATGCATACCCAGGGCCCATCTTGAACGCTAAACTTATACTGTCCATTCTAACCTGGAGTTATATTGCTCTGGTTGGCTCATTTCAGCCCACTGGATTGCACATTTATATGAGAGGGAATGTTTCATTTGGCCTTTTTCTTTGTTGTATCTTCTTAGGTTATGATGTAATTTGGCAGGAATTCATATCTCAAAGCTGATAGCTGAATATGGTCATTAACGCAGCTGGCCAATTTCATCTCAGAGCAACACAACTATGTAAAATGGAATCTGTGCTTTTCAAAATCCAAAAGTAAGGAGTTGCTTTGGCTGGATTCTATAGCAGTCTTATCAAAAACTGTTAAAACTTTTTTGGGGGGAAAAAAAGAAAAAAGATTAAGGTAAAGCCAGTTCTATAAAAACAACAAACTGATTCTCAGCGCAACCACAACAGTTTGGAGCCAAATCTCTTTCCGAGAGACCGGTCACAAAATTTGCTCGCTAGCTTGTCAGCATCTGATGAGATTATCTGACATAAATGGTCCTTTTCCAAATGGAAAAATCTAAGGAGTATGAAGAGGCAGACAGGATACAGCTCAGAGTTGGGGAAAAGCCAGTCTGCTTGGATGGGATGCTGACACTAAATAGAACACAGCAAAGCAAATGGTTCTTTGTTTTTTTTTCCAACCTAGAAAGAGTGCAGCAGACAGGTCACCTGACCAACGGGAGGGTGTGGTTGTGAGACATACACTGATCACTGCTACAAAACATTAAACATTTATTGAGCTACTTGTTAGACACTGTCTCTGCTCTTAAGGAACTCATGGTTCAATAAGAATCACAGAAAAACAAATAAATTACTATACAGTGTGACATGTACAACAGAAATAAGTCCATGGAGGTTGGTTGTATGGAGGTGTCATAGGGGAAGAAGTGTTTGAGAAGGTCTCTAGGAAGAGATGATAATCTGAGCTAGAAGCTGAAAGAGAAATAGGAGACTTACAGGCATTCGAAGGCAAGGAGCATGTTAGGCACAGGCAGAGAATGTATAAGGCAATGAGGTAGGAAATAGCATGTTTATTGTATATGGAGTAACTGGAGAGACTGGCAATAGATGAGGCTAGAGATCATGACTGGTCTTTTAATGCTACATTAAATAACTTAATTAATGTGACAGGTGGTCACTGAAGGGGGGTAAGCAGGAAAGTGACATGAACAGACTGTGGCTCAGAAAGATTGCTTTGGCTGAAGTCTGGGAGATGAATCACAAAAGGGTGCGGCTACAGACAAGAAGAGCAGTTAGGAAGTATTTGCAATAATCTAGGCAAGAGATGATGAGGGCATGAATGAGGGTATCTTGTTTACTCTGGGAACTGGCTTCCTTTGGGCCATGGGATGACTCAGGCTCTTGAGTTGCTAGAACAGGGGTGGGCAAACTTTTTGACTCGAGGGCCACAATGGGTTCTTAAACTGGACCGGAGGGCCGGAACAAAAGCATGGATGGAGTGTTTGTGTGAACTAATATAAATTCAAAGTAAACATCATTACATAAAAGGGTACGGTCTTTTTTTTTTTTTTTTTTTTTAGTTTTATTCATTTCAAACGGGCGGATCCGGTCCGCGGGCGGTAGTTTGCCCACGGCTGTGCTAGAAGCTTTTAATGCTGGTCATAGTTTTTGCCCATACGACAAAGGAGAAGAGGGAGTGGTGAATAATCTTGTCACCAAATTGCTTTTCTTCTGTGTTGTTCCATAAAAAGTCTGTGAAAACCCTGTGGGATGGGAGGGGTCAGCCAGAGGGTGAAAGCTGGATGTAGGAAGATGCTACCTGGAAGGATAAGAGGCTGCAAAATGGGGACAAAGGCAACAAGGATATTCTGGTGACCTGCTTTTAGAAAATCCGACATGTAAAAATTGCACCTCAATATTTCACTACATGCTAAGATATAGTTCATTGGTTCTAAGATGCGCTTTTTTCTTTCACATTTTAACACCTCTGAATTGGAATGCCTCTTACAATTGATGTGGTAATAAAGAATTGTGCCAGTTTAACTGGCAGAGGTTGTTGTTTTTTGTACTGGCACAAAATGTATTGATTATATAATTTCTTATAGTTACTGGTGTCTTAGATTCAATTTAGTAAGTGGTACAGATTGTTGAAGACATCATGACAATCATATTTTCCTCAGGGATAAATTATGCTGTTTAGAACAGGGTTGCAGTCAACCAGCTGGCCGTAGATCATAGACCTTCGTTCCCTATATAAGGGAAACATATATAAGATTTTGTCATTGGAGGAAACATCACAATTCAATTGATCATTATAAATTTTAGATGATTATGTGCTATAAGTTAGGAAGAAACATGTTTACTTAGTTCCATCACTATAGAAAGAAAAGCAACTCATAATTTTTGGTGGGTTGTCAGAACATTTTCACATAGCAAAGATATCATTTCCCCCAAATTTTTCTAAGGTCAAATAACTTTTTATAGGTTTATAAATTATACTACAAATGTATTTCATTCTATGCCAAATTTAAACAGCATTTTATGTTTCTAATGCTGAAACTGTTTCATATAAATATCACGTTAAACACAATTCTGATTATACTCAAACTGACGCGAAGCTCTGAGTTTTCACAACCTTGAGATATGATACATGTGTAAGACAATGTAACAAACTTTACTGCATACTTAAAGTATGAAATGTTTTAGAAGTCCCGAGACCAAAAGTTTTATTCTAATAAGCAATTCATATAGATAAAAAGGTCTTCTATTTAGTTCACATCCTTCTTGAACATTTTAGTAATTATTTTAAATATACTACTAGAATGTGTAGGTCTTGTAATTTCTATCCATTATCACCATTAGACCACTACTTTTTTGTCTCCCTGTGGTTATATGTGCGTGGTCTGACCACGGGAGTGTGCTGGGAGGGATGGCAGCGCTGTGCTGGGGAAGGCTTTGCTGACAGGAGCAGTAAACCAGTATGTCCCTCTGCAGCTCTAGCTCACAACATGCGTACTCCAGGACTGCTGGTGGCCTGGCCAGTCTCTTCCCCGAGTCTGTCCTCTGGCTTCCCTCAGGGTCGGGTCCCAGAGACAACAGCTGTTTCCAGCTGCACATTTTCCTTTAATCTGTCACAGGCTCTTAAGCTGCAGCTGCCTGGCATCTGCTCCCTTTGGCTCTTACAGAGGGAGGGATTGTTTGAGGAGTAAATTCCTGGGCTCTGGACCATTCTACATAATGTTAGAGAAGCCATGAAACCTATGTAAGATTTTTGCCATGGATGGAAACATTGCAATTCAGTAGGTGATTGTAAATTTTAAATGAATTCAAGTCTCTTTTCTTATTTTTAATAACACTCTGACTCTAAGCAAAACACATAGCCTTCTTGTTTGGTAAATATTCTCCCTAACTTGGCCATCTCAATATTGGACTCCTCCTGGCAAAAATGACACATATCTGTGGTGACTATAATTTTCATTGCCCTGGTTCCATAAAAACACATAGGAGGTTACTAATGTTTCTCCAGATGTTGCAGTTTAGACTTGGGGGAAAGACAATAATTTCCTACAAAGATCACAAGGAAGAGGCTTCTGTTTATGTAGTAAATACTAAGCAATACAGAAATCTCTTTGCTACAGGCAGAGAGATGGCATGTGGCTGCACTTTACAGGGTGACACCTTCATGTTGCCCCCAGAGACCAACTTGACGCATACTGTGTCAGGTACCACTCTGCCATAACACTTGGTGAAGCCAGAGTCGTAGATAAAAATGTAATCTCCTGGTTTACAACTACAGGTGAAGAGAGTTATTTTGACAGGAGAATTATTTATTCCTAACTGTTATAAGGATAACATCAAAAAAGAGAAAGGCCACAACTATTTTCTGCTCTGGTTTGGCACATTGTAAGGAAACTTTCAGTCTTTTAAAAATATTTGGAAACAAGAGCAGGGGAAAGTTTTGTTTGAAAGAAGACTCTGGTGCTAATGGTATGGGGAATCCAAAGGGAAGGGGAATTGAAAGAGAGAAATTACTTGACTTTTTACTTTGGCTGAATTGGTCTCCAATACAAAAGCCACCAGAGAGATGCCTAAGGTGTGCCAGAGGAAAAATCAGGGTGGGTGATGCAGAGAACACCTCCGCACACATACAACACATACATGAGAGAAGAGAGTGTTGTCCATGACAAGTACCTGTCTCTCCCCAGAGACTGTCAAAGCTGTTGATCTGTGCTCGCTCCACTTCCTCTTCATCTTTTTCTGGAAGATCAAGTAGGTAGGAGACAATCTGAAACAAGAAGTTGTGTCAGCTCAACTTCAGGTGGAAAACTATGCTACTGACACTAGCTTGTGAGGTTTGAAAGCTTCTTGGATGACACAAGTGTTATGAAACCTCTTGCACACAGAAGGAACTGAAGTGCCTGGCCTAGCAAAGGAACCCGAAGCTGCCATGATGAGTATTTGTTCCTATCAGGCACAGTTTACATGCTTCTCTGAAGACAATTCACTTACATAGCATGTGATTTTTAAAAATTACATATTTCTCATATTTAACTTAAAGAAGCAACCCTTCATCCTCCAAATAAAAATACCAATAAATAAACAGAAAAAAAACCAATCATTAAACAAAAAATAAAATAAATATGGACAACCTTAGGGCTTGTATATCTTCAGAGCACAGCGACTATCTCCTTTAAGTATAAGGACTGTTTTAGGGACATGGGGGAATGGCTGCTAATTTCCAGAAATTTGACTGTAGAGAGAGTTTTAAAAAGCCTCACAAAGATAATAAAATTCCAGTTTTACTTAATATTCCCTTGGGGACATGTTAGGTCAGTTGATAGGGTAGCTGCATCACTGAAGCAACTCATGCAGTGGTACTAGCCAATGAAAGCTAAACTTTAAATTTTCGGGATTTTTGCAAGTCCGGTGTTAAACAAAGATGTTTATTCAAAGTTAAATCACAATTAAATTATATTTAAAACAAAAGTTAAAAAATAAAATCTTGTAATTTCCTTATTATTCCACTGTTTTACAATTATCTATGCTCTTGAGGTGATTTATATCTACTGTGTCTGTATGATGAAAATATTACAGAATGGTGTGCTACTGTGTACCTCTCCACAACTTTGTGTTCAGTGATGTCACATTGGTAGCTTGAAATCGGCCATGGAGGGAGTATCTACACCCTGAAACTGGCAAACATTACAAATCAGGATTTGATTTAGTGCTGCAGCTAAAAGAACTTCCAGTTTAATGAATATAATTTGCATGAGGGCAAGAAGTACTTTAACAATAGGTCACATATCAGATTTAATGACAATAAGATTATTGGGTAAATTGGGGTACAAATTCATTTTATAAAATCACAGTGGAGTTGCATGATAGCCAACTTGCTAGGCTGGTTATGATACAAATTTAGCAAACATCAACATTAGCATTCAATTAAGAGTATTGTGCTCATTATCACTTGTAAACTGTGTACTACATGTTCTTTGTATCAGTAAAATTTATAATAAATTTAAGTATAGTCATGCATTAGTTAATGACGGGGATATATTCTCAGAAATGTGTTATTAGGTGATCTTGTCTTTGCCTGAACATCCTAGAGTACACTTAACAAAAACCTAGATGCTATAGCCTACTACACACCTAGGCTATATGGTACAGCCTACTGCTCCTAGGCTACACACCTGCACAGCACATTATTGTACTGAATACCGCAGGCAACTGTACCGCAATATTAAGTATTTGTATATCTAATCACAGAAAAGGTACAGTAAAAATACAAAATAAAAGATAAAAAAAATGGTGCATCTGTATAGGGCACTTACCATGATGGCGCTTTCAGGACTGGAAGTTGCTCTGGGTGGGTCAGTGAGTGAGTTGTGAGTGAATGTGAAGGCCTAGAGCCTCACTACTGTAGACTTTATTAAACACTATACACTTAGGCTACACCAAATTAAAAAAATTTTTTTTCAATAACTTTTTAACTTTGTAATTAAAAAACACACTTTCAACTCTTGTATTAACAGGTTAAAACACAAAGACATTGTATAGCTGCACAAAAATATTTTCTTTATGTCCTTATTCTATAAGATTTTTCCTATTTTTAAAATTTAAAATTTTCTATTTTTAAAACTTTCTTTGTTAAAAACTAAGACACAAACACACACCTTAGCCTAGGCCTACACAGGGTCAGAATCATCACTATCACTGTCTTCCACCTCCACAACTTGTCCTATGGGAACGTCTTCAGGGGCAATAACATACATAGAGCTGTCATCTCCTATGAAAACATGTCTTTTTTCTGGAACACCCCCTGAAAGACCTGCCTGATGCTCTTCTTGAGGACTTGTCATTCTTTTCAGAAATATGTCCATGGTGGTCTTTTTAAAAAAATTTTTATTTTCCATCATAAATTTGCCTATAAGCAGATACTGCATTATTAATGAATATTTTTTGGTGTTGGGGGTCCATATTTTCAAACTGTTAAAGGAGCTTATTGAGGTCTTCAAAAGCTTCTACTAAACCCCACTGTGAATTTCTTAGGGATTCTTCTTCTCCTTCTTCTGCAATTCCTTTTCTTTTGCCTCTTCTTCAGTTATGTGTTCCTGTTCTAGTTCCAACAACTCTGCATTAGTCAGTTCCTTAGGAACCACCCCTAGGAGCTCCTCAATTTCATCATCACCCACATCCAGGTTAAAGTGTTTGCCATCTCAGCCACAGCCCTGTTGATTTTTGCAACCTTCACATCCTTGGCAAATCCTTTGAAATTAGGGACAAACCTCTTGAGTGTCTTCTTCCAGATGCCATTTATATACTCCTTGGTTACATCACACTCATATATATGGTCTATTGTTGACCAAAATGTCATTAGGTGGCATATGACTGTATGTATGCTCTCATCTCTGTCTCTCTTTCTCTCTCTCACTCTCCTCCTCCCTCTCTCCTGTTCCACTCACTCTCCTTCCCATAGCCGATTGTTAACATTTCCTAGTATACTACCAATTCCATATATTTTGCCACTATATTATTACTATCATAAATAAATAAGTTAGCAAAAATACCATTTGCATAGTATTTAACAGTTTACAAAGTACCTTTCATGCAAGTCTTGTAAAAATAGTTTATTAGACTCACTCTACTGATGGTAAACTAAGATTCTAAGAGATTGGGTAAATTGCCCAAGGTCCAGAGCTAATGAGTGGAAAAGTTGGGACTCAAACCTAGTCCTTCTGAGATTCTAAATGTTGTGCTATTCCCATGTCACACTGCCTATCCATGGGGACACAGCTCAATAAATAATCCTTCTGAGCCTAGTGTCAGTATCTGTTAAATAGGGGTGAAAGGATGGGGAGGAACAGGATTAGATAAATTCCAAGGTCCTTTCCAATTCCCACATTCTGTGCCCATAATTCTAGGTACCTTGGTTAGAATTCAACTGCTTCATGGAGTCTATGCTTCCTATTCCTCAGAGCAGTGATCAAAAAGCGAATTCACATTAATTAGAGTGGCAACTTTGCAATAATGCAACCCTGTTCTCCTGGTCTCCTGGTCTTTCAATACATAGATTGAAAAAAAAAATAACAAGCTTTAATTGCCTGCTTTCTTACCTCAGTGTAACCCATACTGGCTGCAGCAATGAGGGCCTGCTGGATGGCTTGGCTCTTCTTAAACACCCCTTGCTGCTGGCTGGCCACTGTCCAATCACACTGAATCAGAAACTTGACGACCTCCAGATGACCTCGGAGTGCAGCATGGACCAAAGCACACTGTCCATTCTTATCCAAGTGATCCACCTAAGGGAAGGGGACAGAGAAATCTGTGTGAACGAAGAATGGGGCTGTACCCCCACTCTAGTCATATCATCCCACGGCACAGCCTGGACTACTAAGAGCCAGTCTTTCCCACGACCTGAACCAATCTGAGAAAATTTAGAGGATAGTCTCCTACTCAGCCTAAATCACTACAGAGCCATAACTTGGTAGAAGCCCCCCTGAGGTTACAGGGTCAGGCTTTTGTTTTCACATCAAAAGAAACCAAAAAATCCCTCCAGTTCCAGCTTTGTTTTTCTGAGGTATATTCTCCTTTGTCCTTAAATAGTTCTTTTCCGACCAAGATTTGAAAGACTCGTAGCTCTCTTGGTACAAAAAAATGTATTTGAAACCATGAAAGGGAAAAAAAAAACCCATTTTGAAGCCCTCTCTCTCTCTCTCTCTCTCTCTCTCTCTCTCTCTCTCTCTCTCTCTTTCTCTCTCTCTCTCTCTCTCTCTCTCTCTGTCTTCCAAAGAAGTAAAATATCTTTTGTATCATGAATCACACATTTGACCACCAAGCTTTGGCAAAGGCTGCATCTTTCTTCCAGTGTGAGGGCAGAATCTCAAAGATTTGACCAAAATGGCTGGAGTTACTTGGACCTTAATGCTAGCTAGACTCAGTGCCAGAAGCAGTTTTTACAACGCAGTGTTGGTTTAGGCTTGAAGGAAGGGCCTGATTAAGATCAATCTACCAGAAGGTCCCTAGCCACAGACTTTTCTGACAGGTTATCTTCCAGTGGTAGTTAGAACATTTGAAACAAGTTCTCTATCTGATTTTCCCCAGCTTTAGGTCCACTCAGCCATTTATTTAACAAATGTTTACTGAATGCCTACGATGTGCAAGGTGAATGAAAAGGTGAACAAGATAGTAAAATATAAATTCCGTGCTCAAGGATTTTCAAACAAGGTAGGGGAGATGTGACCAATATGACAAACGTCTGTCCAAAAAAGTTTATAATAAATGCCATAAGAAGAGTAAATGTGCAATAAAATTTCAGAGCATTCCCGGCTAGAACCGGAAATGAATTTAGTCGGAAAGGTGTTATGGTCTGAATGTTTGTATCCCCCCCGCAAGTGATATGTTGGAATTCTAACCCGGATGGCATTAGAAAATAGAGCCTTTGGGGAGTGCTTAGGTCAGGGGTCCCCAAACTTTTTAAACAGGGGGCCAGTTCACTGTCCCTCAGACCATTGGAGGGCCGGACTATAGTTTTAAAAAAAACTATGAACAAATTCCTATGCACACTGCACATATCTTATTTTGAAGTAAAAAAACAAAACGGGAACAAATACAATATTTGTATTTGCATGTGGCCCGTGGGCCGTAGTTTGAGGACTCCTGGATTAGGTGCTGAGGGCAGAGCTCTCATGAATGGAATTAGTGTCCTTATAAAGGGATCCCAGAGAGCTTGCTTGTCCCCCTCCACCATGTGAGGACACAGCAAGAAGATCTGTCTGTGAACCAGGAAGCTCTCACCGGACATCGAGTCTGTTGGTACCACGATCTTGGGGCTTAGCCTCCAGAACTGTGAGAAATAAATGTTGTTCATGAGCCACTCACTCACTCTATGGTATTTTGTTACAGCGCCCAAATGAACTTAAGTCTATACTAATTCACTAATAGGAAATGATTAATTCTAGTTTTTGGGTTTTTTTTTTTTTTTTTTTTTTTTTTTAAGGAAAGGGTACATAAAGGGGAAGTTTAAACTGCAAAGTTGAGAAGGGTCTTATGAAATAATGGGTTAGGGATTTGAAAGGACACAGTACCCATATTGAAAGAGCTTCCAATGACCAAATATGGGCCAATTTGAGCAACAAAATAAATCATAATAGTAACGGTTACAGTTCATAGTATAAAATCAGTATCTAGAAATCCACTGTGCTAGAAATAACTGAATAAATACATGGGGGAGAAGTTATAGCTCTTCTTTACGATAGAATTCCAATTAAAAATATTGAAGGAATGGGAGAAATAGAAAATCACCATTGGGCAAACACTGATGGATCCTAAAATTAGTGGACAAAAGCATGAGAAACAGGTCTCAAAGCATCTCCCTAAAATGTAATTCTTTTTTTTTTTTCCAGTTGATCAGCAGCCTTGCCAGGATCTTTAGCCACAATCTCCAGCCAAGTTCTGTGTCCATGTTCTCTTGCTAGGTTCTCCAGCCACTTTCTCCAGGTTCTCCAGCCAGGTTCTGTAGCCATCTTCTCTCGCTAGGTTCTCCAGCCAGGTTCAATCACCAGGTTCTAGTCAGGTTCTCTTGCCATGTTCTATCCAGGTTCTGTAGCCAGGTTCTGTCTCAAGGTTCTGTTTTCTGTGTCTTGTTACATCTGTATTTATACCAGTTGATTCTAATCCTGTCAATTTCTATTCCAAAGGTTAGGGCGTTTCTTATCTCCATTCCAGGGAGTAAAGGTTATGTAGCTTAAGCATGATTGTTCGTAGTTAAAGAGATTAATTACCCGCCTGGCACTTTGGTCGCAAGGTTCTGTAGCGAGGTTCTTCAGCCAGGTTCTGTCTAGGTTCTCCAACCAAGTTCTGTCACCAGGTTCTGTCCAGGATCTTTTGCCATGTTCTCTCCAGCGAAATTCTTCTGTCTCTAGGTTCAGTGTAGGTTCTGTCTTCTAAGTTCTGTCTCTAGGATCTTCATCTAAGTTCTGTGTCTATAATTCTTAATTAAAAAGGGTAGACAGTAACTTCACACCTGATAAACCTGGAAGGCACCACCTTAACAAAGCAACATAAGTTAATGGTATCACTTTGGTGGTATAATTGACAAAAATATATATTCTAATCATGAGAAAATATCAGGCAAACTAAAATTCAAGAACTTAAATGGCTAATATTCTTCATTATCTTCTTAATGCAGAAGCCATGGGAGGGAGTATGAGGAGAGGACAAAATCTTAGTGAACAGTTATATTAAGAGAAGGAAGAGAGAAGAGCAACCAGACAGGCAGGAGGGGTACTAGGACCATATTACAAGTTCTGAGAAGTATACTCAATACTGTCTAAGGGGTGAGAAATGAGAAAAGTTTACTTTATTTGGTGACTGGCAGTTGTTAGTGGATTTTGAGAGAGTGGCTACATGAGTGCCAGGAGACTGTGTTTTATTTTATTTATTTATTTATTTATTTATTGACAGTATTACAGATGTCCCTCATGTCTCTCTTTCCCCCCTCCACCCTGCCCCCACCCCACCCGATCCAGACCTTCACCCACATTATTGTCTGTGTCCAAGTGTGTTCTTTTTTTTAAAGACTATTATTTATCAGGCACTAAATCAGATAAAGAGAGTTTATCTCTTTTTAAAAAGGCTTTCTTGTTTTTAATTCTATTTTCTGGATGAAACAAGTAAGATTAAGAGGGGTTCAATGACTTCTCTAAGCCATTACAGATAGTAAGTGCGAATGCAGGCTTTGACCAAGTTGTGTTTGATTCCAAAGTATACAATTTTTAATGACTTGCCTCCTCCTTCTCTCATGGAAGCCACACAACAAGTAGTTAAGGAGTACTAAGTGAACAGAGGTAGCAAGTACAGATGACTCGTAGAACAGGTGTGGTAGATATGGAAGGTAAGAGATGGGAGCTCCTGGTTAGAAGAAAGGAAAATTTCTAATTTGAGTTAGAGGAGACATTCATAAGGTTGTAGAAACTGGGGGAAAAGGCAGTATAAATTAGAAAATGAATGAAATAAAATGAGAGAGAATAAGCAAATCATTGAGATAAAAAATATAGGTGGAGGCCACTGCTTTGGAAAGGGAGGAAACAGTTCCTTTCTAAGGCAGAAGTAAAGGGGAGTATAGGTAAGGATTCATAGTTTTGAGATATACATTGAGAGGAACTCAATCTTAGTAATGTAGGAGGGTAAAATAAGTTTGAGAGGGTACTAAAAAGAACACAAAAGATTTATACATCTACTGTGGGGAAAATGAGAGATGAGTAAAATGACAGCTGAGCAGCAGGAAAGACCCAGTTGTGATTAAAATATGAACTCACAGCAACAGTAATAAGGCCCAATTATCATTCTATTTCTTGAGGTGTTCATTCTATTGAACAGGACTTTAGAGGTGACCCATCATTGTGTCACCGTAAACATCAAAGGCTCGGGTTTCCACTGAGGGTCCCAGGTCCCAGTTCCCAAGGGAGTCTCAGGAGTCCCATTCTCTTCACTGGTAAAAACACTGGACACCTCAGAATGAGGTCATACTTATATTTCATATTACTTATATTTCATTGCAAAACCACCAAAATCCTCAGTTTGTTTTCAGGACTGAAACAAAATACCACAAGGCTACAATTTCCTCCGAGGCCTCCATTTTGAGGCCAGCACTTTTCTTTTCACCAATATTTTGAAATTGAGTTATTTTACATTAGTGGCTCTTGGGTTACTATAAAGCAAACACATTTTTAAGAAAGGTTTTTAGAGAATTAAAATATACTAACAGAAACACTCTGAGTGCCTCTGGTCAATTTGAGGATAATCAGAGAGAACCACCTTCTTCCCATACCTCCTTGGTGGGGATCTTCAAGGACAGGAAGAGGGAGTCTGGTCTCTGTTCTTATCTCCATGGCTAACTTATCTTCTCTACACATGAAAGGCTGAGGCTGCAGGCACCATTCAGTTCAGATTTCCCACTGCAGTCTCCCTGCTCCTCCACCTTCTCTCTCCTTACTCTGAGCTCAGTAGAGAATTTCTAGGTGGAGACTTTTTGTGGCTGCTGCTAATGAGGTTTTCTAAGTGCCCCTCAAAGGGTTTAGGACTGTGTCCAGATGCAGTGTGGAGCTGGCAGGCAAACACTGGGATGTCTGGGGAGCCCGTATTCCCTTTGATCTGCTCCCTAACAGGGTTTGATGTGCTCCACCTGGATTCATGAGGTCACACAGGAGATAAGGATGACTACAGCAGGAAGAGAGATAAAGGGAAGAAAGGAGAAGCAGAGCCAGGCAGCCATTACCTTGGCCCGTTTCTTGCACAGCAGTACAACGATGCTCAGGTAGCCCGCCGCTGCGGCGTAGCCCAGAGGAGTCAGGCCACTTTCAGAAGAGACATCCACATTGGCTCCAAACTCCAACAGCAGGGCCACCATTTCTGTGTAACCAAGATGAGACTGGACACACAGAATTGGGGCATTATTTAAAACCTCTGTCCGGTAATTAATGTTGGCACCTCCCAAAATCAGCAGTCGGCTGACCTAGAAATAAGTAAATAAAAATAACACTCAAACAAATATTAGTCACATCCTTTTAGTCATCTTTTATTAAGTCACCTGGGACCCTATAATAGTGTCTAGTAGCATTTAATTAACTGCTTTTTAAAATAATTGTTATGTGTTCCTTTTTTTTCAATACCTTGCCCTGGGAAAGGGATGTGAAATGTCTCTTTACATAAACCACTTAGTAACTAGAGAAAATGCCACCTGTACTGTAGTGTTGAACGTAGTCTCTACCATGAACTATTGGTCAGAAAAGCCCCTACTAAAACAAAGGCCACCTGAGATTGACTTACTCCCTAAAAGCAGCAGGACCTGATCCTATAAATCAGGGTCAACTATTACAGAAGGCCAATAGTTTGCTCTTTAATTCACAGAATAAAATGTAACCATTTAAAACATTATCGGCCTGGCTGGTGAGACTCAGTGGTTGAGCATCAACCTAGAAGCCAGGAGCTCTAAGTTTGATTCCCGGTCAGGCCATATATGGAGGTTGTGGGCTCAATCCCCAGTGTGGGGCATGCAGGAGGCAGCCAATCAGTGATTCTCTCTCATCACTGATGTTTCCATCTCTCTCTCTCCCTTTCTCTTCCTCTCTGAAATAAATAAAATATTTAAAAAAACATATCCTATATAATAAAAGCCTAATATGCTAAGTGTCCAGTCATCTGTTCAACCAATCAAAGCATAATATGCTAATGATATGCTAAGGCGCTCAACCGCTCACTATGACGTGCACTGACCACCAGGAGGCAGACACTCCAACTGGTAGGTTAGCTTGCTGCTGGGGTTCTGCCGATCAGAACTGAGTGAGACAGGCCAGACATGTCCTGGAGCCCTCCCGCGGTCCTCTGTGGCTGGCCAATCTCCCGCGTCCCTCCCCGGCCCCGATCGTGCACTGGTGGGGTCCCTCGGCCTGGCCTGCGCCTTCTCGAAATCCGGGACCCCTTGGGGGATGTCGGAGACCCAGTTTTGGCCCGATCACACAGGCCAGGCAGAGGGACCCCACTGGTGCATGAATTTGTGCACCAGGCCTCTAGTTATCACTAAAAGGCTAATAGGAGATAGTCTAAGGCAAGTCAAAGTTCATTTAAATAGCCACTTAAATGTCCTCCTAATTCTATGTTTCACAGTTAATTCTTTTAATCTACGTAACTCGTATGCATTTACCTTTATATTTGGAGTGTAGAGATTTCTTAAAGATGCCAATGCCATGGACAGACCTGCCTTCTTGACTCTTAAATTCAAGTTAGTAAAATACACACTGTGACACAGAAAATGCAATGTGATCATTGATCTCCATCTCATTTCCTTCCTGGGCATTTGGGAAAAATGGTATTTCCCAATCTCCTTTACAGTCATGTGGGGCATGTGTCTGATTTCTGGCTAATAAAATATGGGCAGAAGTAATATATCATGTCCAGGCTTGGACCCAAACTTCCTGTGCATTTCTCCACACTTTCTTTTTCTTAAAAAAAATTTTTTTTTAAATTGATTTTAGAGAGAGGGGATGGAGGAGGGAGAAATAGCAACACTGATGACAGAGAAACATCAACATTAATTGGCTGCACCTGCATGCCCCATGTTGGGGATCAAGCCCGAAACTCAGGCATGTGCCCTGACTGGGAATTGAACCAATGATCTCTTGGTGCATGGGTTGATGCTCAACCATTGAACTATACCCACTAGGGCCTCCCCACACTTTCTATTGTTCTTCTTGAATGGAGGATTCTGAGGTCCTTGGAGATTTTACTACTAAGTGGAAGAAGCCTGTAAATGAGAAAAACCTTTGTTTAGTCATTGAGATTGTGTAGGTTTGTTACAGTAGCTAGCATTCCTCACCCTGATACACAGTGCAATGATCATGTCTGTTCACCTGCAGGAAAACAACAACATAGGTTGACTGCGATCAGTGTAACATTTTCTCTTGTATGGCTGGCCCAGTCCCCATGGCATGTACTAATGTTTGCCCCTTTCACGAGGGCTTCTCCAAAAGGAAGTTAGAATAAGTTGTGTTTTAAATTTTT